ACAAGAGCATTTAGTTTCAGAGAGCTGAATAACGTTTCTAGAAATATGGGGAAATGTAGAAGTGATAGCGAAGTCAACACAAATCTCGGCGTTGACTAACACAGAATTGATTAGGGGGAAGATGGCGGTGGTCATCAGTCCACATAGACATTAAATAGACACTTCACGTGCATGAGAAGTCATAACACTGATAAATGGGTTGTGGTTATTGTACTAGGGCAGCAGAAAAATAAACAATAACCAGGTATATAGACAACGATTTTTTAAGCCAGTCGGTACCTTTGCAGCTTTTTTTTTCCCATCTTGGCGGCTGCGAGATTTGACAGGGAATTCCTTGGGACTTCCCCGAAAAGGTCCTTTCATAAAGGGGGTTCAGGTTAGGGTTAGTTTTATTTTCGCCCGAAATAGATTATATGCAATGTTTTCTCTATTTTAAATGTCACTGTATTCTGTAATTCACTTAGCAACCTGTAAAGTACAGCTTGAACAGACGTTTCTTTTGGGTAGACATTTGGCAGTGAGATGCTAATTTAGGATATTTTGGAGCTGTTTCTGTGAAGGACAATCTAGGCGTTTCAACCGGGGAAGGCCCTCAAAAGGAGCGAGAGACTGCAAGTATGCATAATCGTCGGTTATGGTTAGAGTAAAATGCATATTAGATGCAGAAATTCTGACGGGTCAAGGAGATTCACGACCAATGCGAAGTCACTGGAAACGATGAACACGCTGAAAACATCAAACGCATGAGATGCCTAGAACATGACAGTTTTAATGTTGTAAGGTTACTTTTATATGAACACCCACTAACATTAATACTAAGCCTAACCCTAACCTCCCTATACTGTAGGACTTTCCGGGGAAGTCACTACGAATTTCCTATAAAATCTCTCAGAAGCCGAGATAGGGTGAAAAAGCTGAAAAGGACTAGCCAATATTTTTTTATTTTATTTTGTTTATAGTGACGGTTTGTTTCCTTGGCAGATCTCCTTTACAACGTGACAGTATACTTCAGGAGGGACAACAGCTTGAACTGTACAAACAAAAGAACGTCTCGAGTAGACAACACAACATTGGACATTCACTGTGACCTCCACGCGAAGGTCAACGAATTGACCCTTTATTTTGTTTATAGTGACGGTTTGTTTCCTTGGCAGATCTCCTTTACAACGTGACAGTATACTTCAGGAGGGACAACAGCTTGAACTGTACAAACAAAAGAACGTCTCGAGTAGACAACACAACATTGGACATTCACTGTGACCTCCACGCGAAGGTCAACGAATTGACCCTTTCAGGGGCTGGCGTACCACATCTGTGTTCTGTCTACATCAGTGGAGGTTTGTTTCTGTAGCCCACAAACAAAACATATATTTTCACACATTACACATACCATGCCACATTGTGGCAGATATTACTGTCACCGTGAGTCCTACGCCTACTCATGGCACATTACAACTCTTAAGACTGGAAATACGGATATCCCCTGGTAACTCCTCGCAGCGCCATTCTCCTCATGTCTAAACCACACATTTTTGTGCCATGTATAAACTATACATTTTTGTCTCATGTCTAAACCACACATTTTTGTGCCATGTATAAACTACATGTTTTTCTCTCTTGTCTAAAGCACACATTAGTGTAGCATGTCTAAGCCAGCAATTTTTGTGGTTTGTCAAAACCACACGCTATAGTGACATGTCTAAAACACCACCCATTGCTGTGTCACATCTAAACCACATATTACTGTATCAAACCACACATTACTGTGTCATATCTAAACAATAAATTATTGTCAAGTCTAAATCTCACATTTTTTTTGTCATGTCCAAACCACACACATTTGTATCATCTATAAATCATACACTAATGGCATGTCTAAACCACACGCATTTGTATCATCTATAAATCATACACTGATGTCATGTCCAAACCACACACATTTGTATCATCTATAAATCATACACTAATGGCATGTCTAAACCACACGCATTTGTATCATCTATAAATCATACACTGATGTCATGTCCAAACCACACACATTTATATCATCTATAAATCATACACTAATGGCATGTCTAAACCACACGCATTTGTATCATCTATAAATCATACACTGATGTCATGTCCAAACCACACACATTTATATCATCTATAAATCATACACTAATGGCATGTCTAAACCACACGCATTTGTATCATCTATAAATCATACACTGATGTCATGTCCAAACCACACACATTTATATCATCTATAAATCATACACTAATGTCATGTCTAAACCACACACATTTGTATCATCTTTAAATCATACACTGATGTCATGTCCAAACCACACACATTTGTATCATATATAAATCATACACTAATGTCATGTCTAAACCACACATTACTGTGATGTGTCCAGCCTACAAATTATTGTGCCATATCTAAAGCACACATTTTTGTGTCATGTCATGGCTAAACCACACATTACTGAGCGATGTCTAAACCACATATTTTGTGTGTCTCAAGCTTAAACAACACATTATTGCGTCATGTCTATCCCAGACGTTATTGTCTTGCCTAAAACACACATTAATGTGTCACGTATAAACCACACATAATTATGCCATGTATAAGCACGTTGTATCATACTTCACCTTATATTATTCTGTTAGGTCTAAACCACACATTATTGTGACATTAAAAACTACACATTTGTGTGACATGTCTAAGCCACACATTACTGTGTAATGTCTAAACCACATATTATTGTGACATGTCTGAGCCACACATTACTGTGTAATGTCTAAACCACACATTATTGTGACATGTCTGAGCGACACATTACTGTGTAATGTCTAAACCACACATTATTGTGACATGTCTGAGCCGCACATTATTGTGTAATGTTTAAACCACACATTATTGTGACATGTCTAAGCCGCACATTATTGTGTAATGTCTAAACCACACATTATTGTGACATGTCTGAGCGACACATTACTGTGTAATGTCTAAACCACACATTATTGTAACATGTCTAAGCCACACATTACTGTGTAATGTCTAAACCACACAATATTGTGTGTGTGTGTGTGTGTGTGTATGTGTGTAAACCACTTATTATTGTCTCCTGCTTACAGGTGAGATTAAATTCTGTTTTTATTCTTGTCTCAACTAAACACAGAAAGATTGCATACAATATTGTTTATTTTGTAAAATGCTGCCTATGCTTGAGCTATTCTACATTTAACTTCTTAAATGCATCTTCTATCTGATGGTATTAGGCTACTCAATACTAAAACGTATCCGCTTGCTTGAGGATTGTCCCATTTACATTGTCTCTGGTATTTCAATGGTCATTTTTTTTTTTTTTTTTTGTCATCACCATTACAGCTGTTTTTATGCTGTTTAAACTAAGACCCTTGTTTCGACTTTCTGGTAATCTTATGCCCATTATTTCTTGCAGCTGTTTTTCATTTTCAGCTATTAAAGCTATATATCGTCAGCATATCGCAGGTTGTTTAAATGTAGCCAGGAGCCGCTAGTCCTGGCATACCAAGTATGGATCTAACTATTATTTCACAGTACAAATTCAATAAAAAGTGTAACAGTACACATCCGTGTCTAACGCCTTGTTTAACTACATTTAAAAACATAGATTTCACTACATTTAACGAAAGATATATCACATATCACATATTTAAATCTCCATATCAAACTTAGTTAAGAAATTACTACGGAAAATTATGCATAGTAACAAATGTATTACTTCATTTTAGGGCTATATCACATAGTTATTTCATATACCACAATATTTTGATGTTTTCTTGTCACACATAGATCATACACTTACAGAATGTCAAAAAACCTGTCTTTATGGGGAATAAGATAAGAGAGAGAGATGGTTAAAAATTTTGGTAACAGCAAGGAAATCAATCATTTCTTCATGTACAATTAAAACCCGAAGAATTACCGTGTGACAAGTACAGCCTAAGATGAGCAGACATTGCATTTCCTTCAAAAAATATTGATTACAATTGATTACAATGACTGATTAGCACCTTTCCAGTCTAAAATGTTGTAATGTGCTATGAGTAGGCGTAGGACTCAAAACGACAGTAATATCTGCCACAATTATGGCATGGTATGAAGTTCCTCATATCCCTATCACAAAGTCTGGGCATAAAAAACAACATTGTATCAAATAATGTTGAATGTTGAATCAGGAATCAACATCATGGCACTCAGGACACCCCTCTAGGCGCTCCGTCCCAATCTTCAGCAGCAAACGAAGAGTTTCACTTCTGATGGCACCAGTAGCTGTCTGATTGAATATCCGTCTCGCACTTTTCCTGAGTGTTGAGTGTCGGCCAGATCCCCTGGTAGCTCCTCCCAGCACCATTCTCCACAGATAGTAATGATTTATTTTCCATTCCGCGCTGTTTACTATCTCCCAAAGGGCTCTCACAACGTCTAGCTTGTCATACATAGTTCATCAAGAAGTGGGGAAGAACCATCCAGTCTATATGTCTGCTCATTTCCCAACACACTGGCATGACCTGTAGAGAATATCCGAAGGATACTCACTACCCTGGACCTCTGAAATGATGCTTGCCACTCTGCACGGAACATTCCAGTCTCCACCCTTCTCAACATGCTCTGTGAGTCAATAAAAATCACAGCATGTGTCTACAGCTGATTCTCAGCCAGCGGAATGCAGCTGTTTTCTAAAACAAAACGTTGTGGTATCATATGCCAGGCTTTGTTGGACAAAGCGACGTCCATTCGCCTTTTCTATAAACACTCATTCACTTTGTCTGCCCTTCAACACAGAGCTATCTGTATAAATAATCAAATCACTTGGGAATGAATTGTCATGATTCAAAGTGATAACAACCCTGCACAAGTCTGAAACTTGCTCGGACACTTTGACACAAATTTAACAAGCCTGCGCAGATTTCTGATTGTGTCTTCAGCTTGCGCCATCTAAGACCTTCCTCTTTTCAGTCTGTAATCCTTAGCTCTACCCAGGGCATTATGCAGGCGGTGTTTCTCGTCTGCAGCTATTCAGATGTATGACTTTGCTTGCAGAACATTGAGCCTCTCTGCAATAGCCGGCAGTGCAAGTATACATCGCATACATACTACCTAGGTATATCTTGTACATCTCAGAATTACCCGCATGGCTTTATTCTGTACGCGTTTAAGTCTTATGAGCTGACTGTTTGATATGGTAAGCTTTCGAAGTCCATAATTTATCACCGACAGGATCACATGCTGGAACATTGTGAACAGCATTCTTTATTACATGTCCATAGCTGCCATAATCGTGAGAGCAAGGAGTCCTTTCTGGCATTTCGCCATATCTGCCTCCAAGTGATCCCTATAGACAGGCTTCAATCGAAAGTGATACCCAGGTACCTCAGTTTGCTTTCTCTTTTGATGTTATTGTTACTACTCGTGAGGCTTGGAACATTAGCTGTTACAATTATATTGTCTATATGTATTTAATTATTCATCATCAAATAAATGGACCTATCGGATATTCAGTGCAGGAAAAACCTAGACCATGTTCCAGGTGGAGAAACAATTCCTTTTTAGAAAGGGACTTAAATGGCATTGATTTGTTTGAAAATGTTAGAATTACTGTTCTTATGTTCCTCAGATGTCACTTGGGTCTTTCTGGAAAGAATTTGTTGCTGTTAATAAATTATGTTTGTATTTAAAGATAGTTGGTTCTTCTGGGTTAATAAAAATTGCTTGTTTCTATGAGAAGAAACAAATTGTTTAGGTAATTGTCTGATAAATGGTAGTAGTGCACCACAAAACGTCTTTCTCAATAATGCTGTGAAAATGGTGCCTTTAATCCTTTATATGTACATGCTGCGTACCGCTGAGTAACATTATATAAAAAGGGCCCTGATGCTAACGCTCATGTTAAAGCCCAAAAAAGCTTGGCTAGTAAGCCCTTTAGTCACCTTTGGCGCCTGCATTTCGCAAAAGATATTCGGGTTTAAATTTTGGTTGTAGTTATGGTTTCTTAAAGCCACCCTTTCTCAATGCGTTGACCAATTCAGATAACGAAAAATATAATATACCCGCGGCACATCGAGTCATCATGGCGCAGTGGTTAATAGACTTGTCTGCCGGCCCGATGAGAGTGCGCTTGACTTTTTTTTAAAACCGAAGTGCAATTTTGCAGTTTTTTTGGCCTGCTCAGAATAAATTGTGTACCCTTAGAGTTCACAGCCTTGTAATTCCAGCGGCCACTTTTTTGTTCTTTCACTTCTGGATTTTGGCCTTAATCCAGAACTTGAGCTGTGAATACGCATCAGTTTTATGTCTTCATCTCACTTGTGTGCGGACAGTTGGTTCTCTGCCTCTCAAAGATATTCACTCCGACTGTGAAACACCTCATGTTTGTGTGTCAATATTGTGTTTTGTTTTTCAGGACGCAATCTAGCTTTAAGACAAAACACTACGCAGTCATCTCTCTATGAACTATTTGCTACATCGGACAAGGCAGTGGATGGCAACACAGATAAAGCCTACACAAAGAAAAGTTGTTCACACACTGAGGGTGGTAAGGACTACCCCAACTTAAACCTGACTCTCTCGAGACCCCAGCACGTGACCAGATACGTCATATACAACAGATCCAGTAAGTGGTGAGGTTCTAAATTACAACATTCGTACTCAGTCCTTTTCTTCCTATAGTGTAAGTCAAAACGGATGCCCTCCCTCCTTAACAAATATCTTCAAAACTTCTGTACTCAGAAACTCCAATTATTGTATGTTACATTACATTTCCCACGTCCTTATGATTTTATAATTTGCGGTTGCACAGGTACTGCTGTTTTCTTGAAGCAGTGAATGGTTCTTCGGCTAATAATTTATGTGAATATGTTAACTGAATGAGCGAAAACTTGGGTAATGAGAACAGTCTGGAAACACAGTAACATAAACGTTCATGGAATATTACTCTAATAACAAAATTTAAGAATTCCAATATCTAGAAAGCATATTCACGGAGGTTGGCAGACTCGATAGAGAGATAAAAGTCAGAGTACATATGGTAAATGCTTTCACCTACCAGTTAGCCCTACTGCTTAGACATCTAAATGTCTTCCTTCTAGCAACATAGAAAATTATTAATAGCATCTTTATCTCTACTGTATGCTATCAGTGCCAAACACTGACAATAAATAAGTCACTAGAACAAAAAATAACTACGTATGAAATGCTCTGTCTCCACAATGTCACTAACAACACTACACGAGAAGGGTTACGAATACCAGCAACAGAGAGAAAGTTGGAAAGAGACCATGTCTGGATTATATGGAGCGACAAAGAATGAAATGGTTCGGTCATCCAGTTTGAATGCATCCAGGCCAAACTAAATTAAAAACTATTTACAGCAGAACATCTGTGGAAAAGGCGGGGCGAAGACCAAATACGAGGTGGATAAATGGTGTCGCTGAAATGATGAACAAAACCATTATCCACGCCACCCGAAAAGCCTAAGACAAATAAGGAAAACCAGGACACTGGGTTACAACCTGGTATCAGGGATACAACAAAAGAAGAAGGAGTGGAGACTTTGGAAATCCGTTAACATGTACAGCCATAAGTGCAGGAATTACTGTGCTATACAGATGCTGGAATTAAGATCTGAAAGCTATGAGTGTCCTGTTTACATTAGTGGTATGAATCCTACCCTACAGGAAAGACATGGGCAATGTCTGCTGGTGAAGAATGAGGTGAAGCATGTGATTGTTGACCTGGACTAGTGGAGTCATAATACACAGATGTGGTGATCTTCACAGACGGGTCTGTTATACAAGGACATTAGAGTGCATGGGCATTTACAGCTCGCTCTTCGGGCAGAGCAGTTAAGGAAGTCAGCGGTGCCTTCTCAATGACCACCGGCAGCATGACGATGGAGGTGATGGCGGTGACACAGGCTTTCATGTGGCTGGGATCACAGGACTATTCCTGCGTGTGTTTGCTGGGTGATTCCTTGAGGAATATCAGGCGGGTCGAGGAGGCTGGTTACGCAGACTGTGGCTTGAGTCATTGCAAAATTCTCCTGTCTGTACAGTTTCTTTTATATTCCTCACAGGGCATGCAGGCGATGTTGGTAATGAGAGAGCTGATAGACTGGCAGGCACTGCATTAATTGAAGATGGCCAACCCATGGATCACGCATTGTCATTGCCCTTAGAGAGATTGGACGTACTGAGGATTTTGGAAGCAACGTGTCCACATCACTTCTAAGAATACGCGAATTGGGAGTAAAGCTCGGCACAGCTAAGCATGCGAGCACACTGGATGCACACGAAGTCTTGTAAATCAACATAGGACTGGTACTATTAACCGCACGACGCTGATGAATATGTTGAGAGGAGAATCTGAGCGCCTATGGATGTGTCCGGAGTGCTGTGAAGATAATCTAACTCATCAATTGTAACTCATAGTACACACTAGAGGTTTAGGTTATACAGATAAATAACTGGGGGTATGGGGACATGGAATTGAGTAAAGTTTACGCTGCTGTTGAATCTCTTGTCACAAAGGAACATTTAGACTGGCTGAGTTAGAGGACATCCCAGTTAATAGGCTTCTCGTTTGTGGAGATTTCAATGCACGGAACAGATCATGGGACAGTACTGGGGAAAATAGGCACGGGAATGCTTTAGTAGAGACTATGGTGGATGCAGACGAAGTCTGTATAAACCACGGAAAGTCAAATAAAATGGTGATGAGACCTGGTGATGCAAACACGGCTATTGATTTGGCTTTTGTTACCAAGTCAGCAGTGCTGGACACAAAATGGAGTGTCTTAGGCGATCATGTGAGTGACCATTTGCCATGCTCAGTCTTGATTTTAATAGCTAGCATGATCGGGACTGTGAGAACGCGCAGGACTTTTAAGTATGAGAGGGAAGTACCCTTCTTGGATGGCTCCGACAAAAGGTATGCAGTAGAATCACCTCCTCTGCTTTTGTGCAGCCTCCTTGGTGGATCTCTGGGAGCGAGTGAACAGTGGATGCGCAAATTGATTATTACGGTCTGTTGAGAATTGCGCTGCAAGGACTTACTAGGAGATCTGGCCAACACGCAAGTGAAGGGCGAGACGGACATTTCAGTCAGACAGTTACTGGTGACATCGGAACTGAAACTTTTCTTTTTCTATCGAAGATGGGAAAATAGCGCTTATGAGAGTGTACCGAGTTTTGTGATATAGATTCCTAATTCAACATTTAAGATTCAAATTTAGCTCAGTGATAATCATTCTGATAGCCTTTCCCGCATACAATGAAAAGTACGCAGCTCACGAAAGACTAATGTTGGAGATGATAGAGAAAAAAGCATATGAAATGCGTGAAATTTGATGTTTTGAAATGTTCCCTTTTAAACAATTTACTCAAGTTACTGTTTTCATGGCGATCGTTTGCCTCAAATCTATTGACAGTTTTTTTTTTTTTTAAATATACCGCAAATAGGGCCCCAAAAAAATAGATATTTATATTTATTTAGGATTTTAAAAAATAAACATACGACATCATTACTAAAAGGCTCCATGCACAATTTCAACAGCCTACACCGAACGCTTACTGTATTACAGATTTTATAAGTTTGGCAGGACTTGTGGAAAGGACTATAATACAGCATTATATGCTATGAGATGTTTAGACAAATGACTTTCTATACACACACACACACACACACACACATATATATATATATATATATATATATATATATATATATATTTATATATACACACACATTTATACACTACACATATACACATATATATATATATATATATATATATATATATATATATATAATATATATATATATATATATATATATATATGTTACACACCACATACACACACACACAAGGTCCGACAATTACGTAATGATACTAATTCCATAAAAACTAAAATAAGCAACAGTTGAATATATAAATTTTATCTGATTTAAAGTAAGCCAATTGTGCATTGATCCAGCAAGTGGTACGATCAATCAAACATTGGAACGACCTATGTAGTTCTTCTGTAGTTTTTGGCCCCTCGATGTTACGGCTCTTTGGATGTCATCAATATCGTTAAAGAATAGTCCTTTAAATCGTAACTTTAATTTTGAGAATATAAAAAAAAATCACACGGAGACAAATCGGGGGAATAGGGTTATACGGCTAAACATTCTTGTTTTGATGATGTCTATTGGGTACTCTGATGTTTTTGGTCATCAGACAACGAATGTGGTAACTACCGGCAAGCAACTTTTTTCTTGCCAAAATCTTGCACTAAGATGTTATGAACGATCTCTCTATTAACACCAGATTCATCTGCCATCATCCTCACAGTAAAACAATGATCTTCTTGTATCCGTTCTCTGACTTTTGCAATGAGTTCATCATTACGAAAAGAGATTTGACGTCCAGGTCTAGATGCAATAGTAATCATTTCCACATCACATTTTAAATCTTGAATACCACCTGAAAATGTGTGCACGACATAAACAATTTTCCCAATAAACTTGCCATATTGAAGTAACTGTTTCAAAGGGCACTTTGGGTTTTAAAAAAATTTAATATTGGCTTTTTGCTCCGTTCTGATTACTTAACAACATATATCTGACTGGGTCAAGAAAATGCAGGTTGTTTGTTGTCTGCTTATCGGGAGGCTATGAAAAGTTGCAATAACATAGATGAATGTTGCCTCCTTAGATTCCATGCTTTGCTTCATAGGTGTCATTTATGTCTTGGCCATAATAAAATCAGTCTCATTACCTAATTGTCGGACCTTGTATATATATATATATACATATATATGTGTATGTGTTTGTATTCAGAGGCATTTATGCGCTCTTCAGCTTGTTTAGTAAGTGTCCAGGTCTCGCAAGCGTATGTTGCAATGCGAAAGATGATTGCTCTTAAAAATCTAATAGAGTCTTACAATCGTCGCTAATAAATAAAGTAGGATATCTCAGGTATAGGAACCTTGAGGAAAAATTTTCAATACGTCTAAAAAAAATGTACTGGTTCTGCAAATATTATCTGGGGATATTTGAAATCTGCTGGAAACAGACGAAAGGATTTTTGGAAGAATCTGGTGTAGATATATATCTTGGTAAAAAAAGGTATATATATATATATATATATATATATATATAGATTATATATATATAGATAGATATATTATATATATATATATATATATATAAGGGCTGTACCGAATAGTAATTTTCACTATTCGGCCGAATACGAATAATAGGACCAACTATTTGGCCGAATACAAATACGAATAGTGTATCATCATCATCAGGTGCCTTGCCGACTGACATGGGCGATTATGCCTCGCCACAATCTGCGATCTGCTGCAGCATGTATTAGTTCGTGTGCTGACACACCTACATGCCATGCAACAAAACTGTCAAGAAGGTTCTCTAGTTGTCTTCTTCTATCCCTCCTTCCACAGATCTTTGTAGTGGTCACAACATGTTCCATTTTTCCTCTTCTCATAACATGGCCGAAAATGATGACTGTCTCCTTCTGAGGTCTGTGATAAGTTGTCTTCGGGCTCCCACCTCTTTCAAAACCTCATGGTTGCTTTTTTTTGGGGGGCTGTTCAATGTATTTTAAGCATTGTTCTGTAAAACTACATCTCTGAAGCCTAGAGACATTTTTTTGGCCTGCCTACCGATTGTACAGGACTTACAACCATATGTGGATGTATGTAGCAAGCAAGAATTATTTTTCGAACCTTCAATGACAAAGATATATTGCACAAGATGTTCTTCATTTTATAAAATGCAGTTATTGTATGTCGCCTGTGCTCTTTTCGACAGTGGCGAGAAAAGACAATTTAAATTTTAACTTTCAAGTATCTTTATGCCTTCTTTAATTATGTCACAAATTATAACCGACTTTTCTTGATTTTCGCCCCGGCACCCCTGGCATACGCAACCAGTTTGAGAACCTTTGCTGTAATGCCTTGGTCGAATCAGCCACGCAACCGGGTCGCAGTTTCCCCCGCTACTACAGACTTAGCCAACAGCAACTGTTGTGTTAAATGAGAGAGTTATTTCAGTTCATCGCAGTGTATGCAGAAATGAGTGAAGGTAACAACTATTCGTATTCGGCTCGACCGCAACTATTTGGCCGAATACCGAATAGTCATTCGGTCTACTATTCGGCCCCGAAGCGAATACGAAGCGAATATTCGGTACAGCCCTAATATATACATTTATGTATATATATATATATATATTAATACTATATATATATATATATATATCTATATATATATATAGATATATATTCCATATATATTGAATGCCCAAAGTGCCGTCACAGTGATGCTCTCCTGTAGATCCAAAAGTCATGTTTTCAGACAGCATACAGCCGGATTTTTTTTTCAAACCATACCTTTGTTTCCAGGTTGACCCAGGCAATGTGTACTAGGAAGAGTCTTGGGAATTAAAGGCGGCTGGTTTCATATTGACCGCATCTCACGTCGATGACGATTGGTCTGGGAAAAATATGAGAATAGATTCTCTAGCATTTATACGGCACTTCACATTTAGATCACTAAATGCGTAAGGTATTCGTATGAATATGTTAATGGTAGTCTGAGATTCTTGTGCTTTCCGATCTGCTCCTCTTTTGAGATATGCCTTGTTGGGCACTGCTTCACATTGCATTGCTTCCAAATGGACGGCAAACCATTTGGGTGCTTTATTAATATCCTACCACAGATGATGTCACGGGACAGCCCAACATTTTAGAGAGTGGTAAGACTGGGTTTCCCGGCTTTCTGAGGATTTTGACGACCCCAAAACATATAGAACTGGCCCTAACCCCAACTCACCTACGTCTGTCGAGAGAGTGGAGCCTAAGTCCCACGAGTGCATACAGCCTAGGTCCCACGATTGCATGCAGCCTGTTTAACCGCCCCCTGAAATATTAGACTGTCCCGTGAGTGTGAATTTCCCGTTTGGGGTAATATGTTAAAAAAGCCCCACCATTTGATTTGCTGTTTTGGGCTAATTGTGAATTGCTTCCGTGCTGATGTTTCCTCTTATAACATCATTTCTAATTTTGTTTTGTCTTTTTTAACTTTGAGACTGGTAGACATTTGCTTTGCACTACCTCAATATTTTTTTTCAGATCGACGTGATCGACTGAAAGGATTTGTACTGACAAGCTACAGTCAGTCGTTGACCCCAGTGTTTAACTACACGGACAGAAAAGCCAGCGCCCAGCTAGTTTACACGGTGATAGCCGACAATGTGACTGTACCCACCTATCTGGTAAATGTTGTAGCCACCGATACAAGGGAGAAAATTCTGACGCTGTGTGAGCTGGAAGTCTATGGAGGTAATGTATGCGTAATTCTCCACAGTGGAAGTTTCTAGAGATAGTGTATTCTTGACGTCACTGCAAGTTAGCAAACACTAGAAACTATTTCATATCTTAAGTGCTTGTGGTTAATTTAATGCTTTAAAATCAAACTGACTGTGAACGCTACCTTCTGTTTCTCGGTTATGCCGATGATTTTCAGATAGCGAAAGTGGCAAGACGTGATAAAGTCGCAAGTGAAAGAGTTAGCAGGGAACGTTTACTTGAAGAAGATATTCATACCACAGGAAGCATGTATTGACCGGTACTCTCTGAAAGAAGTAGCGGGGGATGATATGTTAGATTTCCAGAATGGACACAGCAGCTTTCGACTGACGGTCAAACTATGGATTCTGATGATATTATTAATGTTCTGCAAGAAATGGAAAGGTTAGGAGACTTTGGGGGTTGTGAATCAACATAAGCCGCCAGAATGTTAGACTTTGGAGTTAAGATCCGGTCTGAACCAAGTTAGGAAATTCTAATATCTAGGAAGTATGATCACGGAAATTAGTGGAATGGACAGAGACATAAAAACCAGATGTCAGAAATCAAGTGCACTTATATACCAATTATCCCCATTATTAAGACATCCAAACATAACTATAAGTATTAAGCTACCAGTGTCAAACATAGACACTATCTAAAGCCCATGTACATAAAATCAGCACTTGCGAGATGGGATGCACGAGAAAAGCCGTCAACCTAACCATCCGAGATCGTGTAAATAATGATACTGTCAAGCAAATTGTGGGAACGACACCTTGTATTAGATTAATCGAGAAACAGCAGATCAAGTGGTTTGGCCATCTCATTAGAATGCAGCAAGATCAAATACCAACACCAGCACTACATCTGAGAAAATCCACTACAAAAGCAAGAGGACAGCCTCAAAATAATGGATCGACAATATTAAAGACACTATACGCCATTACAGCATGACAATAGCCAATGGCGCCCATCGTGTGCTGGATCGCAAATTATTGTTCCCCACCACGCTTAACGGCAGAAGTGGTTTATGATTATGATGATGAATAAAATTTATGTAAGCTATGGAAATATATCAGTGGTTTGGTATGAATTATCTATATTTCATAGTTGTGGATTCAGGCTGTACGATAGACATGGCTAATAATAGCCTTTGGGGGAAGCGGGGGGGGGGGGGGGAGGGTTGCCTAGTTCATCCTGCTCACCATTCACAATATCCATCATGTTAAGTTTAAATATTGTCATTATTGTAATGTTAAAATGTATAGTGCCAGTGGTGACAGTATTGGCAGCAACAGTAGCAGCGGTAGTATCGCAACATCATAAACACTTTAAAAAGCTTACTTTCTCGCTCACAGAGTCGGCGTGCCCGCCTGGACAGTACGGACGTGAGTGTGAGCACACCTGTAACTGTGCTGGGGATCAGTCATGCTTCGTGAGTACTGGAGGATGTTCTTCTGGTTGTGCTGCCGGCTTCCAGGGAGAGGACTGCATGACACGTAGGTCAATCCACTATCATCATTTGTACTTGTGTTTCAACAATAGGCAAGTTCTTTATAGAACGGCGTTCTCGTCATGGCACGCCTGAGTCTTTCTTCATCTATCCAATTCTCCAGCCCTCTTTAATATCTTGCATCCACTATTGCTGTGGTGTGCTTATACCTCATTTTCTGAAACCCTCCTCTCCAAGTACCCGTGTCCATCATACGGCAACATCTGGTGTTCACTTTGTGAAACAAAGTTGAACCTGATGAATGGATTCGCACACAAAGCTGTAATATTTGGCGCTAGATGAAAGGTAAGCCTATTTTCTACAATGTCTCCAAGTTTCATCATATTTTAGCCACTCGTTCGCGTGTAACTAATATTTTTGTACATCATGTTGTTGCTTTTTTTTCTCGGTAATGACCAGGAGCTCAGGTTATAGGGACAGTAAGGTTCAGGGCCTCTGGTCTGCTAAAATTCATCATATTATTGGACACAAGGCTGTTCATGAACCAAGTCTAGTCTATGCTCTACTTATGTTCAGGCTGCACTACGATTACTGAGTTCAAATAAATTTAACATTTTGATACAGTGATTACGATTGCAGGGCTGCGTGGTCTCGAGTCATGATGACCGCCCCGAGTGCTAGGGGTTCCGTGTTCCATCCCCAGTGAGGGCCGGGATTTTTTCACGTGGAATCGGACTTCTAGTAATTCCCCCTGGTCTCTGGGTAGTGAGATCGGGTGCTCGTGTGCATTGTTGTGCGCGTAAAAAAAAATCCCCTAGAAATCGAAAAGAATAGCCTAACGGCGCTGCCCGGGCACAATTTGGAGTTAAAAATCTACCCAAAGTATTGTAGGAACCTCACCGGTGCTATAGACCCTGTGCCGAGCCTCTTCGTACTAAGACTTGAGTTAAAAGAAAAAAGGAGCACTTATGGATACGCGTGTGCCATGATGTTGATCCGTTGTTCAAACTTCAAACTTCATTCAGTCGAATCATATTTGTGTCGCAGTAGAGCAGTAGCTAACACACATACCGGAATCCTAGTGGTCGTAAGTTTGAAGTCCCTTTTTAAGAAACACAAATACATATGTTTTAGGTATTAAAATTACTACAGTCCGTTCAATAAGTGATGCCAAAATGTAAACATTTGTAGTTTAATAACCGTTGGGTATAAGTTATTGAAACTTGGCATGCTGCCTGTTAATAATCGTCGCCTTGTGAGAAGTGGTCTTACTGTAAACAACTATCTAGTCTTCTTTTGTTTGTCTTATTGCGGTAAATACAATTTTTTTATAGACATACACAAATTAGGATCAAACAGTCAGCATACAAACAGTTAATAGAGTAGCACGAACTTATCAAAACATCAAACTGCGTCCGCTTCATAGGCGTTCCACTCTCATACGGTCATCTCCACCATTAGCCAACTGTGAGTTGTGGATGTTTCCTCGTATGCAGGATAGGCTATCAAAATATTCACCACGCATCACTGCAAATGCGAACTGATTCCTAAAGAATCTATTCATAATGGCATGGAAAGCATAAGACTACGTTCAAAAATGATCGTTGATCTGTAAAAGAGTGTTCTAGATATTTGTTAAAGTGAAGGTTGAAAATGTGCAGTTACACATGCCGTATTGTTTAATAATACACGTATGTATGTTAGACTAACATCTTTTTACTTGGTCTCCACCTGGCTCTCTTCTCGCCCGGTTGGTCTATTGTTAAGACTTGTTACAGGTCCATTTCTGGTGACATATAAAATGTACATACAACATGTGTACATCACGTAGTTTTTCTTTGTTGCCACCCTGTATAATATTGTCAACGGACCTGATTATTGAATGCATGCGTATATCTCATCACGTAAATTCTTCTCTTCTATAATTTCTCCAGCCTATCGTTTAATACACTCATGCACATAGGTGCCCTATGCACTGGGCAAGTGTCTTTTAAATCTAACAGGTTAGAAAATAATCGTGGTTTTCATGACTGTTTATCTCAAAGTTGCCTATGAAGCGATTTCGGGCTGAATAACAGATATGCAAACCTAACTAGCAGTGAGTTACATGAATTATACGAAAAAAAGACTTATAGTGCAGAATGACTGCACTATTAAGGGTGCAAAGCCGCTTTACGCCAACAGCGAGCTTTACTTCGTCTGTGTGACCGTTAGTGTTGGCACATAATAACGTGGGTTGGAGAACAATTCACTCTGCATGTAGACATGTACACTACTAGCGGATATCTGTTGCAATGAAACACATTCACGTGTACATTGATCAAAATCACATTATAAATGAGATATAGCAAATGTTAGGTATATTTAGTTTGACAAAGGTTGCAACACATTATGCATATTTATGTTGTAAATAAAACCTTAGAGATTTGCCTGAGACAAAAGTTTAGCTACTTTTAGAGCCAATCTCTCTAGCGTAATTGGCTAAACCGGATTGCGCGGTGACCGGGTGACGAACTCCTTGTGGTCCGGGTTTACTCCCAGGGGTAGGCAGAAAAGCCACAGTTCTCCCAGATTTACGGTATTTATCATGAAATCAACGCCGAAAGGTTGCGATATCCATAATACCGAGCCTAAGGGTTAACAACTCATAGCTACTGGATACTAAAACAAACATAAAACAAACAGCTACTTTTTAAATAGAGCAGTGAAAACCATTTTGTGTGAAGTAGCCTCAAACTTGATGTGTTTGGAGAGACTGTTAGCTTCACTTGTGATAATAATATCTAGGAAAATTATTCAGATAGTAATAGATTCACGTGCTCACAGGCGTTGGTTATAGTGTGAGTCCCTGCAGCAGCGTGTTCAATTATGTCATTGCTCTAAACATATGTGGTTCTACCCCAGGATGTGACCCAGGCAGGTATGGTCTAGGGTGTCAGTCGTCCTGTAGCCAGTTCTGTGTGAGAGACAATGATACCAGGACAGATTTTTGTAATAACACAAATGGAGCATGCCTCTATGGATGTCAGGATGGTTACCAGGGCCCCACCTGTACTGAAGGTACGTCTTTAGCATTTAACCACATACAGAATTAGGTCAGTTTAATAATATTTCACTATTCATGTTGGTAATTCTTCTTCTTTTTATTCTCCTCCCTTTCCTCTGTCCTCGTCTTCTTCTTAGCGTCGGCAGACTTAAAACATTTTGGCAGAAAGTTTTTGTTGTTCTTATATCCCAGGACTTTGATCTTGGTCCAGAACTCAGGTTTTGAGAGCACATCGCGTTTTACAAATCTAATTTATTTTTTAATTATTTGGCTTTTTGTTCCCGCCAATTCACTCCGTCTTTAAAGGATATACCCATAATTAGCAGCCTTCTGCGAAATGATCAAGTCTGGGAAAGTACACATCTTCGGCGAGAAACATACAGAGCTAAGGCTAAATTTGTTAGAGATATGTACTTTGCTGTTTGTTATTTTGAGACCAGCGATCCACTGTAAGAATGCAATAATTGTTGGTTAACAGAATCGAGCTATAGGTTAACAACTGGTATAAAAGTGTTCACTGCGATCAGTCAGTCAATGTTCAAATCAAACTCTAGCACATTGGGAATTAGAGTGCACTGATGACAGTTGTTGAATGATTTGTGTACAGATTTGATTTTTCTTTGCAAAGTGCTTACAGTAGGTTGTAATTTCTTTCTAAGGCAGCAGTACCTCTACTTGGCGAATTGTCCTAGCAATGGTGCCTGTATTGGACAATTATTGTTCCCTATGCGGGCTCTATATCGAATTAACAACCTAGTCGTGAGCAATATATAAGGTCCAACAATTCAGTAATGAGACTCATTTTATTTTGGTCAAGACAAAATGCCATCTATGAAGCAAAGCATGGAATTCAAAGAGGCAATCTTGATCTATGATCTAGCAGTATTTTATCGCCGCATGACAGGCACTCAATAAACAAGCGACCATTTTGTTGACCTAGTCAGAGGTGCCTTGTTACGTAATCAGCATGGAGCAATTCGCTAATATTAACTTATGTTTAAAACTCAGAAAGAAAAACGCTATTTAGATAGATGAATAGATACATGTTTATAGTGATAATTGTTTATTCCGTGGACATATTTTCAGGTGGTATTCTAGACTAAAAAGTGGTGTTTGAATGATTACTAATGAAAGCAAACATGGACGCCTAATTTCTGTTCATAATGAGATAATCATTGCAAAAGTCAGAGAACGGATACAAGAAGATCGTTGTTTGACTTTGAGGATGATGGTTGATAAATCTCTTCATTATTAGAGTGACCGTTCATAAAATTTATTTCTAACATTTGTGCAAGAAAATTGTTGCTTGCTGGTTTGTACCACATTCTTTGCCTGATGACCAAAAACATCAGCGTGTTGAGTACGCAAAAGACATCATCAAAACGTGTCATAGAAATGAGTATTTCTTTAATTTCATTGTTGCAGAGGATGATACATGGATTTTATGCTTTGATCCCACAACTAAAAGCCAAAGTGCTTAGTGGAAGCCATCATTGTCACAAAAAGGGAAAAAAAATCCGTCTCCAAAAGTAAAATATGAAGACAATGTTTGTATGCTTCTACGACAGCAAAGAATTTATTCACAAAGAATTTTTTCCAGAGGGACAGACTGTCACAGCCACAGTTTATTGAAGTATTTTGAAACGTCTGTTTAAAACGATTCTCATAGTCCGAACCTGGCAGTTTATTTCTTCTTCATAGCAATGCACCGGCTCACTGGGAGGTAGTTGTACAATAATTGTTGACCCCAAAACAAGTATGTGTTCTCAACCATACACCCTATTCCTCAGATTTTTCTCCCTGCGATTATTTTCTATTCCCAAATTACCATTGAAAGGACGCTTCTTTGACGATATTGATGACATCCAAATGGCCGTAACATCGACTTTAAGGACCATAACAACAAAAGAACTGCAGAGATCGTACTCTAGTGTTTGTTAGATCATGTCACTCACTTTATCAATGCACAAGGGGTTTACTTTGAATAAAATACAGGTTATTACTTCAGCTATCAATTATTTTAATTTTGATAGGATTAGTCTCATTACAACTGTTAAACTTTGTAGAAAAAAATCCATCGTGAACAAAATGCAATGCTTTTGTTGATAATTGAGATTATAACCCTTCTGGCTAGTGAAGCTCTGTTATGTATTCCTAAATGTGAATATTCAAGCTGGTTTATTGCAGAAATAATATTATTGTGGGGAAATTTTGGCCTAGAGGAGGGGCATAGGGAAGTGTGGGTGGATCGTTGAGAGTGAATATTTGTGTGTGTTCGTGTGTAATATAGCACCATTCATGTCACCGCCATGATACCCTTGCTCTGACAAACTGATGTCAAGATAGTTTACCGCACTCTTTGGATCTATAAACTTACCGACCAGAGATACAAGAATGGTCATCGCCATTATATTTTAAGGTCCGCCAACAGATACTGTCTCCTGTTGTGTGAGGTTGTCCGCAACACATGTTTTCCTAACAGGATGAACGATTTGGCGAAATACGTTTCTGGCTATCACTGTTCAGGTTATCACATTTTAGTTTGTTCATAAGTTGATTTTGTCTTTCTTTCTCCACACGAACCTATGCATTTAAAAAAAAAAATCTTTTATGAGCTCAAGTGCAAGATGAAATGGTAATTTTACAATAGCCTCGCAGGCTATTAAAATTACATAGTAAATTTACAACAAACTCGCAGGTTAGTAAAATTATATATTAACTAGCTGTACCCGGCCACGCGTTGCTGTGGCATAGTTTGGCTGAATTGAAAAGAAAGAAAATAAAAAATCTTGCTTCGTACATCGAAGTAGTCGGAAAAATTACCCAAGTGAAAAGCTATGAAAACAGAAAAAATACACAATAATTACGAAATGATTGCTATGGTAAACTGTACCAAGCGCACGTTGCTACGCCTCTAATAGAAATTCAGTTGAAAGGAACGTCGATATAACAATATGTAGTATTTATATTGGATCATTGTGCTGTTTACAAATCCTTAGGAAAAAACAGGCAATTTAAAATGTAATTGTTCTTAGTTTTTCCGCCTGGTGCGTACACGAATAAATCAGTAGGTTTTCCGACGCTTGAACAGGCCACATATGGCTGTCCATGAAAAGCATGGATGTTCCAAATGTAGTCCACACAATTGTTCTGATTGTCCCTGTAATTTGTTGATGGTCATTGCTAAGGTGAGTCGCACCAGAAACTGCAAGCATCTGAAGTTGAATGGCACGTCTGTTGGAATTGCGTTGCAATAGTATATCCTGGCCCTTAAATGTTTATGTAAAATTGTATTCGCGATGATATTGGGCACCATCTTTTTCACTGAAAGCCTGGTACCACTGCAAAGATGTGGCGGATTGATGTTTCTGAGAAAAATAACAGGCACGCCAGCTTTCAAGGTTAAAACATGGGGTGGCATGCCTGGCAAATCAAGCGAATTAAAGAACTCAGTTGGATAATTGACAACCTCGTCTTGAATCATTACAGTATCGATAGGCTAATAGATTGTCACTCCGCCTGGCAATTTGTCTTAGATGTTCGGATTCATGGCATACACATCTTTGTTTTTAGCTGCTAAGATAGCACCGTCACTGAGCCACTGATGATTTATGTAATTATGTGTGATATTAGGGAAAACTTTGTCCCATATAATGAGTTGATATACTTTGAGTACTTTACCCATTGCAGAATCACTGCTGATATTGCATGTTGGTGTCTCAGTGATATGCATATTGAAAGGCAACTTCAGTGCTGAATGCTCTTTACGGCCACCACCCAAAAGAGTTGCGGTAAATCCAGAAGATGCCATCGCCAGTGCAATAGTATTTTGTGACCGTATGGATGCCAAAATAAGCGACATGAGAAATGTTTTGCCTGTGCCTCCGGGTGCGTCTATGAAATACAATCCTCCGTGTTGTCGTGTAACGGCATGCTTAATTGTGTCATATGCAATACGTTGTTCTGGAACCAATTTTGGAAGATTTGTTTAAACAAATGTACCTAATTCGGTGACATCAAAGTGTTTCTCTCGTTGCAACTCATGATCGAAAAGGTTGTTTGCAGATCGTTCTAATGGAGCCAGTCCCAGAGCTGAACCAGTGCTTTATTAGTTATTGCCAAACATATGTCCTCAATGCAAACCAATGCCTCATTATATACATTTGGTGTGAATTGAATGTCCTGATCTTGCTCTGTTTCACGCCGGCGATGTAGGATGTCTTCACTCAAGTGTTCCAATGTGCATCATTGTCAAGAAGATTTAATTCTTGGCAAGCTTCACAGTAAGTAGCACATACTTTACCATAAACTGTTTTCAAGTTCTGAAAGGATGTCGGTCCCCGTTTGTTGATTAAAAGTAATTGCAAGTAAAAGCAATCTGCATTTTTGGGATGAACAGTGTACAGGCGGCCTAAAATATCAGTAGAATATAAAGTAGGATGTCCGCCAACCGCTTGACCTTGCTTGCAACGTTGAAACTTTTTAGCTGATGCATTCCACGTGTAGAATGTTGGCAGGTCAGAATAAAGTAGTGTCTTTGCAAACATATCATCTCTACACAATGAGAAAAATCAGTTAACGTGGTTGGTGTTGGTAACAATGCTCGTGCATGTGCATTTTCTGTAGTGAAGTACACGCGCTGTCCATTGTCAAGGTGCACTGCCAAATGAACATCTGCTGGATGTCGTTCATAAATTGGAAATGACAAAATGTGCCATACCGCTTCATTGCTACTGATTTAGCGCCCCAGCTGTTATTGCTTGATTCCATCGATAGATGCAGCTGCATGTCCCAATCCAAAGACTGCCATATCGCCTCCTTTGTTGACATATTTGCAAATGTACTTATGTTTGCCAAGAAATGTGTCGACTGGCCTGTGTCACCTGCTACCAATGATGATAATGGTTCGGGTGGTGAATGTAATACTAGCCATTTAACTTTTCCACCAGCGCAGCACATACCCGGCACGTCATTCTTAAATTTAAAGGCACTGCAATGTACGCACACTTTATCCATTTTGCCAGTAAGCACCTGCGGATGAAGACTGTA